TAAAAAAAAAGTAAACAAGTTTTTTTTTTTTTTTGCTTAAATAGGATAAACAATGATGTTTCAATCGGCACCGTTTGGTGATCTTTTGTTTAAGTATTTTTTTGTGATAAATTAGTACGCATATATTTAAATCTTTCTTTTTTCTCTAAGTATAACTTAAAAATTTCAAGTTTTGAGTGCATACACTTATAAGAAAAAATGGATTCGAATTTTTTTTTTCAGGATAACGACGTTGGTCATATATTTCATATTTCCGATTCAAGTAGACAGAGATATTATATTTATTGCACTGGCAGTTTTTGAATTTTTTGGAGATGAAACTTTCAAAGAAGAAAAAAACTTTAATTAAAGCAGTAAAACCTATTATGAATATTCGCTCAGTTTTTACTACACATCCTATTAAATTGGAGATACCTATTTTATCAAATAATTCAATTTTAAAAGAACTGCTCAGAGAAGATAAATTTGCGCTAACTACAATTATTGAAACCAAAAAAGAGCCCTCTAAAACTTCTATAGGAAAATTACATTAATGGATAATTCATTGAACTTGGACAAAACATCGTCAAAAAATAATCTTTCAACTCAACCATTTAAAATATTAACACATCAACTAAAGAAAACAACACTTTAATGAGTAATTCTTACAACTTTAATAGAAAACCGTCTAAAAAATGAACAGAAATTATTAAAACATCTAAAGTCTTGGAAAAGACTAAAGAGAATAGAACTTTATGACGTGAAAATAATAATAACAAAAAAAACCGCTACTAGAACTCGTCCTCATGATATTAAAAATCATTTATGGGATAAGAGGTTGTTCTCATTGTTCTCTAAATTTGACGAAGAAATCATGATGGACAATGGTAATAAAATAATTATTTAAACAAACTTTAGTATTTTACTATTAACGAAAATGTTTTTTAGAATCATTTTATTCCGTTTGTCCCGATATCTTAAGCACACATATAGTGTTGAGATGCCCCCGTCTAGACGTCACTATGGATCCGTTTTGTGGTGCTGTTGGATAACGTCATCCAATTGGCCAAGAGATACACTCGAGTAATCGATGTTGATATCGATGCTAAATATGAGCTACAGGTCATAATGACGTCTCCGCATCGGGCGGTCCTTCGTATAAAAAACACCAAGTTTTACAGTCTCGAAAAACATATGTGTAACGACTAGGTAGTAGGCGGTAGTAAACTCTTCGACTTGCTGAGAATTATTATTCCCAACATAGCACTGCACATACCTAAAAGTACAGGTCGAAATTAAGTAAATTAATCTAATTTCTATAGGTAAATCACAATTGTAGTTAATGTTGATTAATTAATTTTCTAGTTGATACAATTTGGAAAATTATTCGAACTCAACATGGAAATTCAACACAATTATATTAACGAAAGACACCATTTTATAACTGGGTTTTTCGGCCGATTTTTCAACATGAACAAAATGTACTTATTTAATGACAACAAACTTTACACGAATAGAAAACATCTCAAATATCTAGAATTTGCTGATTACTATTATGGTTAAATTATAATTCATCCAATTTACATCTACGAATTTCCACATATTCTAATTTTCAATATTTTAACGTTATATACCACCGACTTCGGAAATTATATAAATACCTTACAACTCTTTTATTTTTGTCACAGCTTGCTGTCGGATAACATATTTTACTGAAAAATAAAGTTTAAATCATTGTATTATGATTATATACATTTCATTGTAAAACATATAGTATTTGTATTGACATTTCAAATATATTTGTTTTTGTATAAATTAAATTAAATTTTATTTCATGTTTAATTTTTTATCTGAATATTGTAAGTAGTTTTTACTTAAGATTATTCTGAATATATTTTGTTGATTGCAAAAATGTAAATATACTTAAATTGCTAAAGTTGCTTGCCCAAAATATATTTCATATTATATTCTATAATAAATAATTATTATAAAAAATTGAATGTTTCGAGTTATTTTTTTACATTTTCTAGTGGATGTTAAATAAATTAACGATAATTTATACAAACTAAAAATATAATTAATTAGAAAATTAAAGACAAAATCAGTATACATATAATAATTACATTTTATATATAAGATTTTAAAATATTGTGAATATTTATTAGCAACTAATTTCAAACATTATTTGAAAAAAATCTAGTATATGAGATTTAAAATTTGAGTTCTTTACATTTTTGGTTTTCTTTCAATAGTAAGACTGTCCTTCGTTTTTTTTTATTAAAAAATGATTATTTAATACATTAAGTGTAATCCCATTTAATAATAATAAAATATATTTAGGTATTATGATTTAATTAGCACTTTATATATAATTTATATTTTATATAACAATATATAATAAGTTTATTAAATATTAATGTATAGAATTTATATTTTATACCATTTATAATGAATAAAAATAAATGAAATAATCAGAGGTGCCGGAACTATTTTTTTTATGGGGGTAAAAATTTAATGACTAAAACTCGGTCCCCTTAATTGTTACTAAGTTAAAAAATGGGTTAAGATATTTTTTGGTGGATTTTAGTGATCTTATAAAATAAATTCGGTTATTTATAAATTTTACTCTTAATAATTCATATTATTAACTTCGATGCGAAACTGAGAAGGTATCAATTTTACCATGAAGTGTTTATTTATTTACGTCAAAAGATCAAAAATCATATCTAGTTGAAGACATTACCCTCAACAATTGGAAATTTTTCCCACGTTCCCCGTTAATGGAGAAAATCCCCCCAAAAATTACGATTTTTAAAATCGGTAAATTTCGACGTTTTTTTCACTTATTTTTTTTAAATTGTCATCATTTATTGAAAAATGAACAAATCAAAATAATTTTGTTATATTGAAATCTTAAGAAATCCCCTTTTATTTGATATGATTTTTTTTTTTAATCTGATCCTATACCTGCCTACAAGAGAGGATTCAAAATAGCAACTTTTTCAACTTTACTTTTGAAAATGTCCCGGAAATACTGCGTCCTTTAAACTTATGTCAAATTGAAACTTAGATACGTAATATAAATTAAAAAAAAATTGTCCCAACGACGTACGTGCAAATGATTGCCGTAGTTAATAAAATGCTATATTTGTGTTAAAATTTTCAACTTTAAATTGTTATAACTTTTTGAAAAATGTACAGATCTACAATATTTTTTTTTTTTAAATACATTATATATACTCCTTTCATTCGACATATTTTTATTTAAAATCGGGAAATTCCCCTTTATACAAAGGGCGTTCAAAACTTGAAACGTACGTATAAAATTTAGAACTTTTTCAACTTAACTTTTGAAAATGTTTCAGAAATACTGCATCCTTTAAACATATGTTAAATTAAAGCTTACATTATGTACTATGAGATAAAAAAAAAAAAATTTCCCGAGGCCTATCTTCTATGTGCAAATGACCGTTAAAATTGAACAGAAATGTTATTTTGGTGCTTAAAGCTTTCATAACTTATTGTATACGGCGACCTATTTTCTATGTTTTAATGGCAGTCTAAGTAGAATAAAAAAATAGGAGTTAATTTTGCTTTTGGAACAACTACCAATTTTTTAAAATTAAACACTATCTACAGAATTGAATCGATGCTTTTATTATGATAGTGATTATAATCGCTGTCAAATATCATCTATACTCGTCTCAACTATGCCACTTCCATACTGTCCCACGACTTCACTGTACTACTGATTTTTTATAATCGCTAATGACGCAAAACCGGTCACCACTATTTCTATGGTCGCCCGAACGAGCTACAAAAAAGGAATTATACGCCAACGGATTTTCACAATGTTGTCTAAGGATATTGTTAAACATGTATTTTGTTCTATGACTTTATAATATCACCGCTGTTACTCAAGTTCTGTCGACGTTATGTTTAGTTATTTTGTAATAATTCGAGTGTATCAAATTACTGAAATAATAATATTATTGCTGGATGTGTGTTTATTTGTGTTGTTCGGTTATTGGTCACGGGACAAGCACGCCAAGTACCGGAACTCCTCTGTTACACCTACGATCAATCACATCACATAGAGGCCGGAAGTTTCCTTCCGCAATGGCTGCAGCAACCAGTGGAGGACCCGAAGTCGGAACTCGTGTAGTAGTTAGTCGACTCTTGGCGGCCAGTAGTTACCGCCTTACACGGTTTTGTTTTATTCATCGCAATGGGCTGCGGAACCAGCACCGGCGCTGGTTGTCGTCTCAACAAGGAGTTATACTTGCCGTCGACTGAGTTGCGTTTTAACGCCGGACAAATCCAAAGACTCAACGTCAATTTTCTCAGTGGATATGAAAATTTGGGTAAGTCGGGATTAAAATCATTACATTGGACTTTTTTTTTAATTTAATGATTTTGTTTAGATTAATATTTTTTGTCTCAACAATAAGTTTAAAGTAATACGTCATATATTGCTATCATGCTATTGTATAATATTTCTATCATGTCAAATATAGTTTTCCACTACAATTTGATAATTATAGTATTTTAAAAAATAGTCTTAAATAGATTTGATCTATTTAAGAACTAATTTATCTACAAGAACTTTTATTTAAAAGATTAGGACCTTTTATCAACACTATTGAAATCAAATAAGTCAATTCGCTTAACGATAGCAGATTTACACGATTTCACACTCAAGCTAACAATCGTGCTTTTGGATGGAAAAGTAAAAGCTGTTGATTTCATTAATTCATTAGTTATTTTTACTGTTAAACATTTTTTTATTTGAAATCCATTAGTTTCCTGTTTAAACATGTGTATTACTACAATAAATTAAATCGTGATTACAATATCACGTTGTAATACATTGAGTTATATTTGACAGTATATAAAACGTTTTTTTAATGGATTAATAGAAAAATGTTTCGAAATTTTACTTAAGTAAACATTAAAAATAGTAACAACCTAGTAAATGGTATAAAATTAATTAATTTATATGCTTATTAGAGATGAGTCGTTCGCGAACGAACGGATCGCATTGAACGGGTCAAAATAGTGAACAAAATGATTCAGATCGCCAAACCGTAGTGATCCGGATCCCTCAAAAATTAATTTTTTCCCGTATAAACACACTGAACCGATTCGATCGCTTACCAAATATCAATGATAACATGATAACATATTCATACGTCATTTGTTCATACGACATATCCCTAATCCGAATCGCGACTCATACATGCGATTCGCGAATCGAGAACCGCAAAAGAATCAAAACTATACTGAATGTTCGATTCAATTGATTCAAAATATCTTTTAGATCGCGAACGGGTCTTTGAACCGGATCTTCTAGTTGGCCTGATTCGAATGAATCGGATTACTTAGGTGAACCATAATTCCCATCTCTAATGCTTATGAACTATTTAAAAAAAACTATGTTTAATAACCATTAAAACAAGGACTGATAGATAGTGATTGTATATTAAAAACCAGGCATGAACTGATAAGGAAACTGGGACTTTCCCGGCAGGCACACAACAATGTTATAATTTATTTAATTCAACTGGGGCCTTTAACTTGTCTTTTGCGTTTATTTATAAGTGGTATAAAATAAAAATTCTGCGTTCTACTAATTTAATATATGTATAGTAAAAATTAATTGCTTGAGGCTATTTTCTTTTATGACATCGGGCTCTTCGAGAATGTTTAACCACAATGCTCTTTTATGTATAGTTGGCGATTACAACCATTTACAAATTTCTATATATCTCCGCACCTGACACTTCACTTTCTATAATTGAGAAAATCAATTAAATTTTATGTAAATTTATTATATTACTTATATATTGTTATTGTTACTATAACTCATACAATCTAATAATTCCTGGTTATTAAATACTACCAATCTGGCCTTGATTAAAACATTTGTGTAAAATTTGCATAAGACGCGAAATATACTTTCTACCCACGTGAAAATTCTCAACAAATTCTTATAGTGAGCATTTATTTATTTAAAGTTTTAATTCAGCAATTTAATTTTATCATAGAATAAATATAATTTTTTTTCTGTTAAGAACAGTTTTACCAATTACAAAAAAGGGATTTAGAACTGAGTATTTTAAAAAGATTGATAGTACGTGTTATTAATCACCAGTAAAACACCGCAAGTTTTTAATTTTTAAAGATAGCAAAAAGCTTTTTTTTGCATCGTTCATTTGATATTTTAAAATAAATTCTGGGTATTTATGACTCTGTAATGTAATGTTATTATAATTTGGGCAACTATTACAGCAATTCTCAAGTTAAGCAAATATCAATTACAATATAGTATTATAAAATACATGAAGTTTTAATTATAATTCAGATTATTTCTAAAATTGTGTGGGCTATCACATTACTTATTCTATTTTCTCAATACCCATTGATATTTCAAACTATATGAGAATTATTATAAATATATATGTATACATATAATCTTGGATAGGACATATTAATGTATATTGTTAAGTAAATTTATAGCTTAAATGAATTGTTTACGAGGTGTACAAATATTGTTTAGATGATCTACCCACATGTGGTAACTCAAGAGAAATTAAAACTACTATCGATCAAATAATTCAAAGATTGTTGTGTGGCATTGGTATTTTGGACAAACGGTTTGCTAGTAAATTTTTAGTTAATTCAGAACCAATTTCATCAAATGTACAAGTGAGAATTTATCTAAAAATTTATACAATTATATTTAAATCATTTTTGATCTTATAACATTTTTTTAAATGATAACATTGAATGTAAAGTATTGAGTAAAATAGTAAAATTATATGAAAATGGTATATAGGGTGTTCAGTAAGTAAGGAAATGATTATCTATTATTCTCATTATTTATAATAATTTACCTGTTTCCTTATTTATTTAACACTCTGTATATATATATATATATATATATATATATATATATATACATATATGTCTTTTAATTTAATTGTTTTAATGATTTTACAGTTGTCAAAAAGCTACACTTATTATGTTCGGCTAGATTCACTATCAGAGCCAAATTTATATGAAGACGATTATGAATATTCTGTGAGATGTGTTACAGAAGAAGATAATGCACCTCAAGGCTTTGTTAAAATCAGAATAGTATCTAATCAACCGGAACAATGGAATGACCTAACTGATGATTACGGATATCTCAGAAGGTAATATAGTTTATTTATTGAAAACTCTTTCAAATTATTTTATTAAATAAAAATTTGTTCTTAGAAGGGTGCTAAATTTTAATCATAAAATTAACTTTCCATGACGGGATTATTTTCATTTAAAACAACTAAATTAAAATAAAATATTTTGTTTAAAACGTGTTTAACTTTAATTTAACCATCCAAAAAAGGTTATCTAAAACAAAATTATACTCTGAAAGAATAAGTTAAGCATTAATTTAAATACATCATTATGTTAACCTGTGGATTACAATGTATGAGATTTGCTACAAAATTGATCTAATTAAATATGAAAGAGTACCATTACTTAAAAAGCATAATATAATAGGCATTCTATAAATACGTTTAAAAATTGAAAAACATTTTAAACGCGTTTTAAAATTTAAGGGTAATGAAGTGCAAAAAAGCATTAAGTTAATTCAAAAATTTTATTTTATAAGATTTATAATGAAAATTATATTAATATACTATTGTTAGAGACAAAGTAAAAATGCGTTTTATTGAGCTGCTCGCCATATCTGCGTCTAAAATTGATATTCTTGATTCGCCAGAAAACGTAGACGAAAGTTATTTGTGTGGGTGTCCTGGAAAAATTATAGATGCTGGTGTACTGCACGAAATTATCAACATACCTCCAGAAGAACATATATATTTTGGTCTTGGTAATAGTTATAGTTTAATACGATTTATCTAAATGCACTAGAACATAAATATTATATTAAATTATAGGATTTAGTGGCCAAAGTAGATTTCCCGACATTAAAGATCTTTGTATAAACGTGGTTGAGGACGCCCAATGTGTAAAGCTCCGAGTATCTGGTCCAAAACTACCTACCGAAGTTGCAATTGTTCTTTTACCTTTCATTCAATTTGAAAGTTTTCCAAAGTACACCGATTTATTATCTAGAGTGCCTATAACTCATCCTGATATTCTTTTACACCAGAGAGCTTGTTCCATGGTAAGTTAAGATGACGTGTGCAACTTTTTAAATTTGACTTCAATTATTTTGGGTTTTCAGGGGTATTTTGTAGTTCCTATAACACCTCACCAATCTGTACGCTGTTTTGACCGTCAATCTACCTGGCAAATTCGATTCCCAGGTGCGGAGTGTTTATATCAAACTCATTACTCCGAACGCAGTGTAATTAGCAATATAAATCATTTTTTACAAACTAAAATACCCAAGTTAAGAAACGGAGATAGCGGCGTGTGTGTAGTTAGTGGTTACATCCTCAAATCACTTTTATGGTTTCGCTTAGAAGAATGTGGGTCTATTGAACAATGGGACCATGGGTGTGTGGCAGGTCACATACTAATCATATTGGACACTTTAGTAGCTGCTCTCCGAGCTCAGCATCACCGTTCATACTTCTTTCCTTATGTAAATATTATACTGAATTCCCCTAAAGCTGGTCGTACTATTGTACCAGAGGATGACTATCAAAATGATGTAGAAATAATAGAAGCTTACATGTATGGATTATTCGAGAAATCTCTGGGAAGTGACTCGATAGTTACAGGCCAAGCATTCGAAAATCCCGATCAAAGCTATTGGATGAACTTAGAATCAGTTATGTTACATAAATGGCATAGAGTACTTGATACAATAAGTCCAAAACAAAGAAAACGAGAATATTCAAAAAAACAATTAGAATACATAAGTGAAGTTTTCAAGGGAATGTTAGCAACAAGGAATTTTGTAAGTTTTTATAAAAAACAACATTTAAAATTATTTGTTATGGTAAAAATAAAAATATAAATTGATGTTGATTTTACTCTAAAATTTTATTTTTATTATGTTTAGGGAAAAGATACAACATCATGGTGCTTTTTAAATGAAGAGAAATTACCTCATTGTATAGGAGGAGGAAGAAGTGGTCGAAAAGAAGTCAGTTTAGACACTGCTTATCTTGTGTCTGTAGTAATAGAACAAGCGTTAGCAGCTATAGGAACTCGCAGGGACATTAAATCGGTATCCGAAAGAAATCTCGGTGTACCCTGTTTTAAAATTTTTCGGAATAAAAGATCAGACCGCCAACGTAGGATACGCTGCCCAATCAGTCGTCGTATTTCAGATGACAAAAACGAAGCTGCTCGGCAATTACTAAGTAGCGTTTATACTGATGCAGTGACTACACATTTTAAAGACGACTTCGATTTAGTCAAATTTGTATTAGATCATTTGCATACAGCTGCTCAATCCGACAGGCGTTTAACACCATCACTTCAACCATTCCTACAACAACTGTATGATGTATCGCGCAAAACGTGTTGGCATTTAGATGAATGGCAACGACGCTGGGATAAAGAAGAGCTCCATTCTCTTGGAACGTTTGCCAGACTCCTTTGCCGCAATGCTATACAGCCAACTGAGGCTTTACATGATGCTATACAAAAAGGTACATACATTTTAAATTAATTTTTATGAATTATTAAAATTGAAACCATACTTAACTTTTAATAGCATTTTACATTTATAAAACAATACAATTTTATTTTATACATATTTTTACTAAGTGACAAATACAATTAAGTATATTCGAATATTTTATGTTATACTATAAGTATAATACTTTTAATAGGTTGGTCATGGGCTGATAACCTATTGCAAGTTTTAATGGAATTCCAGGATGGTGTAGAAATAATTTGTATTCCTGAATCAAACAATGTACAACGCTTTAGCATATCGCTACCAAAAATAGAAAAGGAAAATTTTGCGTCTAGAAGTTTAGGAAGAATGACTGATAAGAACTATTTTACAAGAGCAGATACAGTTTCTAGCAAATTTAAAACAGTCAGAGGTTCGTTTTTATATGTAAAATATTTTATTTTTACATATGTACCTTAAAGCTAACGAATATCGCACTATGAAGCCTTATCTTATAAAAGGCATTTCGAGCTAAATGATTTCAAAGTTTCTACCTACAACAAGTCTTTCATTAAGTTTTACTTTTTTTCAATTTATATTAAATTTAAGTTAAACTTTATAAAATCAGCTTGTATATTTAGTTAAAGAATAACAAATTTGAATGAGTTATACCAAAATGTTATACATCATAAATTTCAATATGACTCACTTCCACTTAAAGTAAAATATAAAAAATTAATAAAATATCTCGTAAATATTATACCTATGATTTTAACTATATAAACAAAATTTATTTTTAAAAGTACAAAAATAAAAAAAATATATACATGAGAATAAGACTATAAATTAACTAGTAAGACAAGTAGATTGATTTATTTAGTCAAAAAGTTAAATAGTAAAATATGATAAATAGTAAACACTGGATAATTCATCCAGAGTATTTATAATTATTAATTTTTGGTTTAAAAACGTTTTTTCAAGGATGGTCGTTCTTAGACGTCGATTCGATTTTAAGTAGCCAAAAGAAAAATACTTCAAAAGATATAACTACTATTTATAATTGCCTACATTGTCAAAGTCCAATGACTAAGGCCGTAACTAGTAGCAGACAAAGGAGCAATCATCGAGTCTTAGGAAATATTGTGAATGCATTGATAACATTACAAAAATATACAGTAAGTACAATATATTGTATTTTATCAATATATCAAATATAAATAACCTCGTTAATACTGACTTCGAAATTATTGATTTTATATTTGTTGAAAAGATTATTTTTTGTTATATTTGCTTAAAATTTTGTTATAAAAAATCTTAATAACTTATTCATCCATTAACCCATCAATAATAATCTTTATAATTAGTAAAAATATGAATAATTTTCTGTTTTTATCTTATTTTTTTGAAATATCAAATGCTATATTAAAAAATGATTATTGTTTATAAAATAAAACTTGTAATTATAATTTAAGTTAAGCTAAATATGTGAATGAAAAGATTTTGCAGGAAATGTGTGCTGTTTTGCCAGAAGATAAACAAGGACCCGTATTAGATGATATTCGGAAGATCAGTAAAGAGAGACAACGAAAACGCCGTGATCTGTCTTTGAGTCAGGATGTTCAAACGACTGGTATCTATAGATCGATGTCTGAATTATCATTATCGCCAAATTTGCAGAATGTTCTAGATTCTCATGATACCTCCTCAATTACTTTACCTGATTTAAAAAATGTAATTTCAGAAAATAGTTTATTGTCCACTTTAAGGATAGCTAGACATAAACAGTCAAATAACGCAACTACAGTATATAATCCAGCGTTCTATGATGCTCCGGTGGCTTTTACACATAATGATACCTCAGCTATTGGTAGAGTTCAAAATCCTCTATGCCAGCCTTACTTACGCATGACCCAAAACAATGAATTTAGCTTATCTACCGACCCAATGCCGTTTAATGATGCCACTAAATTATAAATTCAAGTACATTCAAACATCTAAATAAAGTACCAAGAATTTATCAAAATTTGTTTATTATTGCATCATAATTCACTTAAGTCGAATTTGTTTATATACACGGTATTTTATTACACTTTATTAATTGGCAGCTGGAACAAAATTCAAAACTTAGTACTTATAATATTATAATATATTATATATATATATATATATATACATGTAAATAAAAATGTATTTTTTGTATTCATTAGCTAATAATATAATGAATTTATACGTTTTTAATTAAATTAAGTTTTTTATAAGAATTTAAATAAAGTTAAGTTTTGAAGAATATTTAATCACAAGTTTGATTGTGTATTTAATTAATATATTAAAACCACAAAAATGACTAAAAATCTGAACATTTTTTTCTATTAATACATTACAACGCAAAAAAAAGTATTTAGGTTTTAGTATGAATAGTATTTATTGTGTAAATTAATTTATGAATTTGAAAGTCGTGTGGTCTATTTCTTTAATCAACAAATAAAATAATAAAAAAGATAAATTCAAAAATTGAAGTATGACTTATCATCTTAACGTATGATCCTAATTTTCTGTGAGAAGAGTCATTTAAAATGATACAAAACAAATTTGCATAATATANCCTAATTTTCTGTGAGGAGAGTCATTTAAAATGATACAAAACAAATTTGCATAATATAAATAGAAAATATTATAATAAAATTAGCTGTACATTAAATGACACTGGACTGATTTTGTTGGTCTATGCGTTAAAAAACCTGATTTTAAGCTAGTTGAATCTATCGTCAACAAAAATTGGGAAAAACTCTTAATTTTAGAAATTTAGAAAAATATTTAAAAATTACAATACCATAAAAAATGCCATTTAAAATTTTTTTTCTGCATTTTATTTCAAAAGTTTTAAATTTCTATTTTAAAATACTGATTTTAATAAAATTTTAAAACTATATAAAAGAGACAACAAGCACATCATCTATACTATTCCTAACTATGACGCATTGTGCGCGTTTTTTAGCTTCGATGTGAAGCTGAAAAGGTATTAATTTTACTATGATGCGTTTTTTTTTTTTTTTTTTTTTTCCCTTTTTTTTCCTTTTTTTTTTTTTTT